GCTTTTCCGTAACGGTACTATAGGGACAAAAATTTTTCTCGAAATATTAAAAAAAATATTTCTCGAGAATGCCTCAATAGTGGGTCCTACGGCTTTACAGGAGTAAATGTATGAGTGTATACTACACACCCATAAAATTTTATTCAAATCGGTGATCAGAGACTGCCGGATTCCCCTTGTAAGAAGTACAAGGAGCTGTCGGATAAGCTGGGAACCTACGCTCCAGAACCCTTGGAGATAGCAGAAAATTACAATTTTATGCAGAAGAAGCAATTAGCGGGGGAATCCAACAAAGATTTTCTTGCCGCCCTACAGAGGCTAAGTATCCACTGTAAGTTTGGAGCTTACCTGAATACAGCGCTAAGGAATCAATTCGTCTTTGGCCAAAGCAACCATCGGATTCAAGCTCGGTTGTTGGAGATGAAGGATCTAACGCTGGAGAAAGCCGTCCAGATAGCAACCACGATGGAGCTAGCGGAAAAGGGAGCTTTACAAATATCTACAGATCAACCAACGCAAGTGGATTCGTTACACTTCAACCAACAGAGGAGGACTAGCAAGATGCAACCGAAAGAAAAATTTTCAAGTTTGAATAAGAATAATAATAATGTAAAAAGAAAAATAATACGTACAATGTAAATAGTAGAAATAATAGTAAGTTTAATGTAAATATTTCCTGTTACAGATGTGGCAAAGGGCATTATGCTTCCAAGTGTACTCTAGATAGGAGTGTGAAATGCCATGGCTGTGGAAATAAAGGACACCTCAATAGTGTATGTTTCAAAACAAAGAACGCTTTAAATCAAGTAGAGGAGGTTCTGGTGAGTGAACCAGCTACAAATAAGCAACATCGCGACTTTCTGCCGGAACAAGGCGGCTGTCGTGATAAAATTTACACAACTTTACAGGTAAACAAAAGAAAGATCCGTTTTGAAATTGATAGCGGTTCGGCGGTCACATTAATATCAGAGAAAGACGCGCGTATGTTTCCATGTTTGGCAGTTAGGCCGACAAATCTTAAGTTAATCTCTATTTGTAAACAAACGCTCACATCGTTAGGATACGTAACAGTAGAGGTTGTGTTTAAGAATTCAACACATTGGTTGAATATGTACTACTGTGTCCAAAAAGTAAGGTGACATTGCATTTATTTCGAAAATTCTTTATTTATTCTTGCAAATCAATTTCGTCCCCTTCAAAGTAATCCCCCCCTGATATAATACACTTATTCCAACGGATTTTCCAATCTTCGAAACAGTTGTAATAATCGATTTCAGGAATGGCC